ACTTACACATTCTCCCCGACCAGGAGGGCTCCGAACAGGCTTCCCTGACTACCCGATGTGCCTCCAGCTCCGAGAAAACCCATCCCCGGCCCAGAGGGAACCGAAGCTGCCCGCCAAAGCCGCGCGAGCCGGGAGAAGGCGGCAGAGGCCGGAGAAGAGAGCATGACTTCAGTTCTTCTCAGCCTTTGGTGCTGTATGGGAGTAATGAATTTATGGTGTGACGACGATGGCGTCCAACATTAGCTGGAGCCGGTAAAGCAGAAACACGTCCGAATAACATTTGAAGTGAAAGAGAAAATGCTTGGAAATCAGCCTTCAATTGCTCGCCCTTCCAGTGAACAAAATGTAAGGAAGGTGCTAAACACGATGCTGGTGAACGACCTACTGACTGTAACGGACCTGCTGGACCGGTCTGTTTTCACAACAAGAATAGCAGAACAGGGAAAGAGCGATTTTTAATCAACGCGCAATGTCCATTTTCATGTTTACAGAACTGAGCCAATGAGAAGTCAAGAGACTTCAACTGACTGCATGCCGTATTGCTACCATATTGTTTTCACTCTATGATTAAAACCTTTGATAAAGTGCTAAATATGTAAAATAATATTATATTATGGATGAGGGTCGAACGAATCGTGTAAATAGCTGAAATACCTGTGCTGCTGGTTGAACCATGTGAAAATAACGTCTTTTTGTGTCGCAGATTGAAAACCAGAGCGTGTGAATCTGGTGTCTGTATGTTGTTTCTTATGGGTCTGACAAAAACGCACATGATTTAGGTCTTATTTCATCCCATTTTTGCATAATGCAAACAATCTTGGTTTTCTTTATGCAAAATCGGTTTGATTGTGGAGTGAAATCTGACCCGGGCATGAGCTTTAACACACGTTTTTTGGTTCCAGGAACACGTTTTCCATTCAGATGAAAAAGCAAAAGGATGATAAGGGATGAAAAGTTAGATGTGTTTGTTTGTCTCATGATTATTTGATGTAGTTTTACTCGCCATCCTTTTTTTTTCTCATCAGTGTTATGTGCAACCGAATCAGGACTTGAAAATATATTTAGTTTTTTTGGTAAATTGCTTTTTTTAAAGTATATTGTGTGTTACACATGCTGATATTTTATTGTGAATTTCAAGTATATGAATATGTTTGGTGTTCCATTGTGCCATCTGGAGTCACATGTTTAGTTGGCCATAACATCCTTTCTGTTTAAAAACTTAATTTAATTTATGGCTAATTTATCACGAACATCCTCTGCTGTGGATTTTTACCCTTTAAACTGTCATTAGTAGATTAACATGCAAATTTACAGCAGTAAAGTTCATAGAAAAACAAGGACACGTAACGGCAAAAAGCTCAAAGCTTAACTATATAGTTACGCAGTCCACATTGCTGTTTATGTGCAGGGAATGTGTCTGCAGAAGCTGTTTACTCTTTTCGATGTGCTGTTACAGATATCTATGTCTATATCTATGTCATATCAGTCATAGCCTATTGCAAGAAACCATCACCATGGTGCAATATCACAAGAGACATTAAGCTATGTTTTATGCTCTGATAAGTATACTTGGGTACTGTCCTGAACTTTAAGTCCACTAATGCTCAAAAACAGGCGGTAAGAAGGAAACGGTTGTTTGTTGCATCCTGCGTAAGTGAATGTAATCACTGTAGCATGCCACACTATTGTCAAAGTTTCTCTTTTACAGCTACTGTATTTAAGACCACATTTGAGGCCGGAAACATACTCTGTGCAAAAGCGCAAACCCCGAATGCATTCCCTAACATATTTAACATGTATTAAGGTGCGGTCACAAATTTCAACAGAGTTTTGTGTGAAAAAGGTGTGTTATCCATTCCTACTGGATTGCTATTGGGATGACTGGATTGGATTTGGATGCAAGAGTAAATGTCACTGCACCGTTTTACTGTAGCTTCATAACTCATTAGGTTATGGAGGCCAAAAAAAAAAATTAATAACATGCTTTAGTGAGTCAAATTGAAAAGTTGAAATTTACTTGTCATAATTATGACATACTAAGTTGTAATTATGACTTTAAACATTGAAATTCACAAAAAAGTTGAATTATGACATGCTGTACTAAGTCATGATTATAAAATAAAAGCCGAAATTGAGTCGCAATTATGATGTACCAAGTCATAATCATGATTTTAAAAGTTGAAATCGACATAAGGTTAAAATTATGACTTTGAAAATTAAGTTATGACATATTGTACCAAGTCATAATTATGAAATAAATGTTGGACTTGTGGCTTTAAACGTTGAAATTGATAAGTCGAAACTGACTTTAAAAGCTGACATTGACATACTAAATTGGAATTATAACAAGTCAGAATTGAGATATAAAGGCAAAAAGGGATTTATATCAATTTTTTTAATCTCATAATTGACTTAGTATGTAAATTTTGACTTTTAATGAAATAATTTAAACTTATCTCATAACTATGCCTTTTTATGTCATAATTTCGACTTGGTTTATAATCATTTTGACTTTTAAAGTCATAATTATGTCTAACTATGTAATAATTAAGACTTCTTACATGGCGGAAATGGGCTTCAATAATCGGATAGGTTGCTGTCAATTGTTTAACTTGTTAAACCGCATTTAGGTAGCTAGCAATAAACATGTTAACATTACCTTAATTCTCTTCAAACTGTGGCTCCATGTGAGTTGCGCTGAAAGAGAAAAACAAAACAAACTGACCGTTATGTTAATGAGCTTACGCTCTTCAGAACGCAAAGACACGTGATCCTGCGTCGATTAAAGCGTGTGCGCACGCGCTTGTGTAGAGGATGTTTTTCGGCATAAGACTTGTGTTTTTAAAAACAAGGGATGTAATATCTTGCATATGACGATTATTTTACGTTGAATGATCCTGCTCTGTGTGTTTTGATGGACTGACAGTCTCTACAAACAGATTTGTGCTTTCGGAGTTTGTGTTTGTGCTCTTGTGAGTGCAGTTGTAAACGGTGCAATTTGTGTAATATTTCTTTTATGTGTAAATGTAAGGATGTAAAAAAAAATTAAATAACAATCATTGTCTTATTAAAAAAGAAGAAGAAAATAAACCTGCTAATGTTTTCCTTACTCAAGAGCGAGAACGGGAGGGCGGTAGGGATGGGCGGATCGATCCTTAATTAAGTATCGATACTTTCGATACTGATGTTGTATCGAAAGTATCGATCCTCACATAAAAATATTGATTCTAAAGTGAATTTTTTTAACCATTAATTTTATTTATTTATCAAGAAAGTCGGTGCATAAAATAAGTGGAAAAATAGACTATATTAGCGAATAATTGTGTTGGATAGATTCTCCTGCTCATCGGAACACATTAAATGCTGAAAGCCCGAACCAATCAATCACAGACAGCTTTGATCACAGATGCATTTTAAATTACATTTTAAAATATATTAAAATAGAAAATAGTTATTTTAATTGTTATATTTCACAATATTGCTGCTTTTACTGTTGTTGTTTTTTTTTTCCCAAAAAAGTTGCAGCCTTGGTGAGCATGAGACTTAAAAAAAATATTACAAAATCTTACTGACCCCAAACTTTTGTGAACATGCACAAACTAGCCAATTTAAAATAAATATTACAAGTTAATTTATTTAAACTGGTTGTTAAAAGTTCAAATGGATTGTGTTATGTTCTGTAATTGCTGTTAATAAATCTGTCAGAAAAAAAATATGCTAAAGTTTCACCTTCAGGGGTACAACAGCCTGACAGCCTTTTACAAAAATTAACCATGGTTTTATTACAGTAACCACAGTATCTGTAGTAAAACTGCAGTTACCACAAATTTACCCTGGTAATAATAATAATGATAATAATAAATTTTAGTACTTATGTAACACCATGTTTATTTTTCATGAGGTACCCTCAAAGGTGCACCTTTGTAACTTATCTACCCTTAAAGCATGCATACTTGTATGGTACTAATATGCTCACTTTTAGGGGTATAGTTGCACCTTTGAGGTTACTGCCCCAGTAAAGGGCTAAATATATATATTATAGCATATTTTATTTCTGACAGTGTAAACCAAAAAAAAAAATGCCTATGAAATGTTAAAAAACATGGCTTTAAAATCGAATATTACGTGAGTATAATTACTGATTATATTCTTTTAATGATTTAAAAGATCAGTTTAGTTTAGAAGTATCGGTATCGGTATCGGCTTGAAAATATCGGTATCGGATCGAAAATAAAATAAGAGGTATCGCCCATCCCTAGAGGGCGGAAACCTATGCTTTCTATATAAACTGAGAATTACAGTATTGGAATGAATGGAATTTAATTAAATCTTTTAAATTCAGAAATCATGATTACTCAAAAACAGATTAAAAAATGTACAAAAAAGTTTTTAGGCACGAATATCATTTTAGTGCCACGTTAAAAATAAAAACATCTAAAATTACAAGAATAAAGTCGAAATTATGAGAATAAAGTTGTAATGTTTTGAGAATAAAGTTGAAATGACAAGAATTAAGTCCAAATATTTTGAAAATAAAATCAAAATACCTTGAGAATAAAGTCAAAATATTTCGAGAATAAAGTCAAAATGTTTTGAGAATAAAGTCAAAATTATGAGAATAAAGTCGTAATGTTTTGAGAATAGTCAAAATATTTTGAGAATAAAGTTGAAATTACAAGAAATAAGTCAAAATATCTTGAGAATGGTCAAAATATTATGAGAATAAAGTAGAAATTACGAGAATAAAGGTGAAATGTTTCGAGAATAAAGTTTAACTTTAATTGCTACGATTTAATTCTCGTAATTTTGACACTATTCTCAAAATATTTTGACTTTATTCTCATAATTTCGATTTTATTCTCAACATATTAACCTTTAATCTCGTAATTGTATTTATTACGATACTTTTTAACGACACTAAAACGCCGTCGTACTTTTTCCGTGTCGTTTGTTATTCACCGGCACTGTAAGGGTTAATAAACAACTGTGTGATAACAGTTTAGTTGCCATGGTGATTGTTTTGTAAGAGGCGTGTGCTGTTATTTGCTGACTGACTCATCATCGGCGTTCGGGATAAAAGCGAACGTAGGGCGCGGAGCAGAAACGAAAGCGATCCTGACGCCAGCATGAGAGACACTGAACGCGACAAATCCGCTGGAAATCACCTGAAGCGCTCCCTGATCGATCTGATCATGTGTGTGATGAGGCCGATCGCGCGAGTCTTCCCGTGGCTCTTCCGGTGGATCTCGAGCGGTGAGTTCACGCGCTCGCTCTTTATGTTGAGCGGCTAGAAGCCTGTTGTTGGCGTTGTTTCGCTAACTATAGTGACTCAAACTCGCAACTTCCGCGTCGTAAAGCGTCACACACTCAGCCCTGTGTGTAGTATTAGGTGTGGTGTTATCGAGTGAACTCTGCGGGTTGTTTAGTGAGGTGGTTGTTGTTGTTGTGTTTTGAACAGGTAACGTTAACGTCATGATACGCGATGACGAGGCGACGCCGGTGTTTTTTGACCTGGAGACCACCGGACTGGGTAACGCAACTCTCCTCTACACTTTATTAGATTAAAATATATTACATATAGATATTTTGATCTGTTAAGCTTTTTATAATGAGCACAACTAGAGAGATCCATCTATATAATGTAATATGCCCATGCTACATTTATTATTAAATTAAAATTCAATTTTATTTTTAAATATTTATTTATATTAAATTGAATTTAATGTAATATGCCCATGATACATCTATTATTAAATTATTATTAATTATTTATTTATTTATTTAATTATTATTAAATTTAATTTAATGTAATATGCCAATGCTACATTTATTATTAAATTAAAATTTAATTATTATTAATTATTTATTTATTTGTTTATTTAATTAATTATTATTAAATTAAATTTAATGTAATATGCCCATGCTACATTTATTATTAAATTAAAATTAAATTATTATTAATTAATTATTTATTTAATTAATTATTATTAAATTAAATTTAATGTAATATGCCCATGCTACATCTATTATTAAATTAAAATTAAATTATTATTATTTATTTATTTAATTAATTATTATTAAATTTAATGTAATGTGCCCATGCTACATCTATTATTAAAATAAAATAAAATAATTATTATTTATTTATTTAATTAATTATTATTACATTTAATTTAATGTAATATGCCCATGCTACATCTATTATTAAATTAAAAT